ATAAAACAAATAAAGAAGTCTTGACTGAGCTCTATTCTGTTGTACTACTCAAGAAGTAGAGAGAGAAACACTCGACTACATCTCGTGTTCCCCCCTACACTTCTTTCGTGTTCTTACAGCACAGTCAAGGCTTCTTTATTTGTTAAAAAAGGTGATATTTTAAAGGACGGATTGTTCTCCCTTAAAATGTCGTCTTGAGCTTAAAAACTTTGATATAGCATGTTTTTAAAGATTTTTCAAGTTCCAATGCGTCTAAGTTATGGGTTAATAAAGTAAACTTGTCGAGTTTTTCAAACCATGGTTGCGTGGTTGCGTTTAAAGGGACTGGTTCACGATAATGCGCATGCGCGCCGTGTGTCTCTTCACGAATAAATTTGTTGGGTCAACACTACATTCGAAATCGCCATTACCGGTACAATCATTGAAAATCCTTCGTTTTATTCGGGCATCCGTCGCTTTGGCTGGTCTAGTTATACTTCGGTAGTGGTGATTAACGTGTGATTGTGTCGTTTGACTGGTTACGTTTTAAGAAGACGCAAAAAATAATGTTTTGATCATGGAGGTTGAGAAGAGCATCGTGGCCGTCCGGCAACAGGACGTTCTCTAGAGTCTTTGGAGATAGAGAAGCTTAGCCTATCGATCTGGTATGGTTCTAGGAGTAGCGTGTGGCTTACGAATAGGATACACGACACTTGGAAAGTGGTTAAAGGCATGAGTTCGTTCAACTTTGATTTGATTTTTGACTCCGACCTGTAGTTATACCGCAACAGGCCGCGCGATCTTCACCGATCTGGTACACTTGAAATGTTCCTTGTATCTTTGCTTTACGACCGTATATGTTTAAGAATTGATGTTTTTAAAATAAATTATTGCCTGAATATTCTGTTTATAATCTAGTTTCTTTATGTGTGTTACTCGATAACATTTGTTTTGCGGAACACTGACCCGATGCAACGCGAATGAATTTGTTCATTTGCTGATAAGCAATTGAAATTTATGCTCAATTAAGGATAATCTTTATACTCATACGTTGTGTATTTTTGTCACCGGTCAGACGCTATTTGTAGGTATTTCTGGGTTTATATAAGGCGAACTGAGAGAACAGTAATAAGATGTTTGTTTATAAATTTTGTTTGCCGATCGGTGACTGCTTTGTTAACGTGGGTTCGACCTCGTAAAAATACACGTTGGTAAATGTTTGTTTCAAAGCAGGACAGGGCTGTAAATTTTATTCTTATCGGCTGCAACATATATCTGAGGATTTTCAAAGAATAAACTTGAATTATGGGGATAAATAAAATCAAACCAAATGCCCGGAAATGCTCTCGCGTCGCGAACAATTTTAAATTTGAATTTTGTAAATTTACTTGCGTGCATCTAACTCGCTTCCGATTGGTTGAAAAACAATCAGCTACTGTCAGAACTCACACATGCGCATTATCATGAACCAGTCCCTTTAACTGTGTTACTCGCATGCAAACATACTTCTCAGCCAATCGGAGAGCGCCTACTAAACTATGTTATGGCAAGTTTAACTTAATTGCAGTAATCAAAAGGCCAGCTTCTTTTTAATTTGAACGCCTAGTTACGCATTAATTATAAAGTTGTCATCCTTGAGTACGATCCCCGCATATTTTCATATTCTCCCTTCATTTATTTATTTTAAATGTCATTTGTACTTACACATCACTTTTCTCTGAGTACTCCCTGGAAAGCAATGATTCTATCGCCATCCACTTGATTGGCAAAACACCACTGCTTGTCCTCACATATAACTCACTCTTGTAAATATCTCGAGCGAGACCAAAGTCAGCGATCTTCATGACGTAGTCTTCTCCGACAAGAACGTTTCTGGTCGCCAAGTGTCGGTGAACACACTAGATGAAACACATATGTTTTGAAAAAAGAAATGCAAAATCAAGAAATCAGAAACAAGAAGGAGATAATAATAATAATAATAATAATAATAAGTCCGCTAATTTTAGAAAGTCGTTAATGGGGTGAGCTTGTAAATTAGTGTTTTATGATCTTAGTTTTAATATCTTTATTTCATCAAAATTTTAGTCTATGATAGTGGAATGTAAATTGGTCATATGTTAATAAAGATTTTTGCTATTTTAAAAAAGTAATAATAATAATAATAATAATAATCACAGGAAAAACAGGAAAAAACAATTTTTATACCAACAGAGAAGTGTACACGCTACAGAAAGTAAAAGTAAATAAAGACTGCACATTATTAAACAATGCTCTTCACTTACTCTCGAACGCTGAATTGTCAGTGAGAAACCAACGCTACAGACGCTTACGTCTTCCCTTCTTTCGCTCCCAGTTCATGGCTGATTTAATGTCACAGCTGTTGCACACGCTTCTGAGTTCCCGTAACCTTTTCTCCTACATGCCGCTTTTTCTAATCCTTTGCGCGAGCTTTTGGCTACTGAGGTCTCCTCTCTCTGAGTTACTTTACTTTTTACCACTTATTACTCATAATAAACTCTTACAGTGCGAATCCTCGAAACTGGGCTTTTGGAAATAGATTATCCAAACACAAATCATAATAATCATGGCGGTTTTTGAAAACAAACGATTCTCATTAAATTTGAGGGCTAATTCCTGAGAAGTCAGGTAAGTTCAAACGGTTTTTTAAGTTATCAACAGTTTCATAGTTGCACATTGAATTTTTTGGGTCCGTTTACACTAACAGAGAATCTCTTGTTCTCCAAACAAAAAAACGGTAAGTTCAAACGATTTGATTGGATAATAATCTTTCAAGCGCCCCGGTTCAAGTAGTCATACTCTGTTAAACGCGAAAAACAAACAAATAGGCGCAGATTTAGAGTCGAATGAACGATTTAAATCATGACAAAAAGTCCTTGAAGCCAAACGGAGAAAATAAGCAAGTGCTGGAGAATAGACCCTTTTAGCTTGTATGTTTTGTCTTCCCTTTTCAGACCACTTGATGTTACCCCAGAGAACCGTTCCTTTCAAAAGTTGTCCTTTGCTCGTGTATCCACAAGCATATGTATGTATGTTTTATGAAAAGACAAAACGCAAATTGCTTTGAGAACATCACGTGGTGTGAAATGGGAAAATAAAACATAAGCCAAAAAGGTCCATTACAACCAAGAGCCACTACAGCTCTTGTTAGAACTGAATTATCTTCAGAAATGTGGGAATCCTTGAACCGGACAACATTACTACATTACCCTTTTAGACGCCAGGTATTCCATTCCACGGGATATTTGGTAAGAGTAGCTTACAAGATTTGATATATTCAATCCTATCTCTGGGTCACTCGCAGTCGTAGTCCAGGTTGCTTCATAAACATCTCGCTGGTCTCGTAAGAACTTTTGTAAACTCCCATGTGGTGCATATTCCAGAATGACAAGGATACGATCTCGCTTGATACAAACACCAAGGAGGTTTACAATGTTTTTGTGTTCTCCAACGTAAATTAGAATTTTCAGCTCTGATGCCAGGTCTCTTACTTCCTCTTTAGTAGCTCCCTCTGAAGTGCCAAAATATCGTACTCGGTCAGTTAAAAAAAAGTGCAGTTTCTACAGGGTCTAGTGGAGTCCATGTGACCATGTCACAAGCAAAGTTAAGTTTAACTGGGCACAAACCTCAGCAATAGGAATGAGCACGAACGGTACTCATGCATGATAGAGGCCCTATGCGAATTGCCCACCTCACCCATGCTGAATCCAGGGGCATGGCTGGAGTTTTTTCCACTGGTAGGCACAGATTCCCAAATCAACCTTACCCCGTCTCCCAAATCATTACCGCGCAGGTAACCTGGTAACTCTTCCCCTCCCCTGCATATTATCAGCTGCTACAGTAACTATAAACCAAATTCCTTTTTTGTCCCCCTCCACCAACCCCCGTCAAGTACCAGCCATCCTTGTTCCATGGTAAAAGTTACACAAGTTGAAATAGAGATCTCTTGACTTGAAACATTACCTTTAACAGTCTTTACAGCTACGGTGGTCTTCGTGTACGCACTGCCTCTGGGATCGTGGTACGCATGGCCGGTCGTGTGTTGACCAAACGTTTTAGGTCGTCGCTGACTTTTCTTTTGACTTTTGTTGTTTATTCCTATAGCCTCTGCTTTAATGACTTTTCCGAAGGCCCCTGATCCTAGCAACTCCCCAAGAATGAGCTTGTCCTCAGGAAACTCGAAATCAGGGTCATAAGGCAGATCATTACATTGTTCGAGCAGTGTACGATTATTGTCAATCTAAAACAATCAAGAAATATTTTATTACTTAACGTATACAATAGGGACCTATTTAGTCTAAGCAATGGTAAGTTCATTCCCTCCAACTGGAAACTGTTTGGTTCATGAGTATTACCTGAATTTAGAAGGCTATTTCAGCGCAATGGATCACTTTTTGAATCGAGTCAAAGAATAAACAAAAGCCAGTTTAGGTTTGAAAAGTAGACTTAAATTTATGGCCACTCCGCAAAGAAACTCAGCACCTCGTTCACGGTAGGTCTACAAGAAAGTCGTGACTATTTTTGCGGAACAGACTGGTTCGTAGCCTACAATGAAATGAACAAAATGTCAGCCATCTTTACTATCCGTGAGTATATATATACATCTATTTTAAAACGAGGAGCAATCTATGGTCGCAATTTTGCAAATTATGTCTGTCGACTGGCCTCGACCAAGCAACCCAGATGCTGATAAATGTACAGGGACCGTAGAGGGGGAGGGGCTGGTAGAGCCGCGGCCCCACCACTTTTTTGCGCCCCCACCCCCACTTTTTGCGCTAAAAAGAAAAATAATTAAAATAAAAAAAAGACTTGAAACAAGTTTTTTTCCGTCTATATTCCGCTATATTCTCTGTATTTTCTTTAATTTCAAGCGCCACTAATGCCGACCTATAAAGAGCAACAAATACTGGATAAAGTATGCAAAGTCACGCGACAGAAACAAATCAAATACTATGATTTTATTCCTTTTTTCGATTTTCAATCTGAAAAAATTATTTTCAATTGTCAGCCCTCCCACTTTTCACCTTGCTCCGCGGTCCCTGATGTATAATCATTCTCAAAAGTGTCCAACACCATGAGAGTTTACACGAATGTAAAGTGGCCATAAGTAAAGCAACCTTGCACTTTCGAAAGGTTACTAAAGATTTTAAGCAAAAGAGAGTCGACAACGGCAACGAGAAGGTAAAACGGTAGCGGGTCGGATTAACAACCAAAACGACAACTTTGCACGGGCCATCAAACTTAATTGCACGCCTACGACGTGAAAAATTAGTCCCAATGCGCGTTTTGCGAAGGACGTTAACCGGCACTGACGATAAATTTTTTATTCCCTTTTTTAACTTGACTGTCCATAGAAATTCAACTACGTATACTCCACGTAAAGTCACCTACGTTTCACATATCAAAGGAGTTGACGTTAATCGAGAGATGAAGTTTGAAAGATTGCAAATTGATTTTATTTTCGCCGTCATGTTTGAACAAAGGTTGAGAGACGTTTGCTTATAAAACCCCTTTTTCTAATTTAATTGCTCCTCTGAGACAAAATTTTCACAAGTAAAAGAAATCCCCCTCCTCCGTTTTTTCGCGTTTAAAGTTGTCATTGTAGGTGTTGAGTATGATCTTGGAATGGGAGGGGTGTGAAATTTACGCAGTCCAACAAACATCATTTTCAGCCAAAATAAGTTGCAGAATCCAAGCAGGCACTGGTTGTTATGTAGTGGCTTCATTTTAAACTCGTTTTACATGGTATTTTACCTGGTGTTTTCCAGTGTGTATTCGAAACAACTGATTGCGATACTCCACAATCTGCTTCCGCTGATGGCGTATAAAGCAAACGAAGGCGAACACAAGGAGGAACAGGATCGCTCCAACAACAGAAAGGGCAACAGTGGCTTCCTTACTAAGAACTTCTAATGAAGATAGATTTGGGTTGGAGCTGGTTGGCACTAGAAAATATTCAAAGACAACATCGCTTATTAATTGCTTCAGTTAAATTACATTATTGTTCATTCAAAATATTTCCCCAATTCTGATTGGCTAAAAGCACACGCATAATTCACCATAACCAGTTACTGATGACCAAATTTGGAAGAATTTTGTGTTTAACGAGGAAAACGACGTCAAAAATGCAGCCCGCTACTGGTTAAGGCGCTGTCCACAGGTTAGGGATAAGAAAGTGTTGAGAAAGGCCAAGTACGATTAATTATTGTTACTGACCATATCTAGCAATCGCTTAAAAGAACTACGAGTTCGAAGTGGGCTATGCTCACGAAAAGTCGAATTGTCCCGTGTCATGTCATGCCTTTGTCAGCATTCTCAACTATGTCTCTCTCATCGGTGAAAACAGTGATTAAATTCACCAATTGAATTCAAAAAATAATGGTCCAGTTCTGTGATTTAAGACTATATTTTGGCATTGATTATGCTTCTCGTCGTCTGTTACAACGGATTGCAAGGATTAAAAATGCATTGAAACGTAGACCAACATCAAGATACAGGACATACAGCAACCAGATTAGTACAAGACTGATTCCGATCAAATAATGAAAGTGCCGAAGAAGGTGGCTTTTCAGGTAGTTTATGGCAGGACATGCTTGACCATGTCGGGAAGATTAGTACGATATCATGACTGGTGCGTCTGGATCTATTTTGCTTATACGACTTACATTTTCAGTTACTAATAAATTGCACTAGTGGCAGAGTTCATGTAAATTTATACCTTGTTTTTAGTAGGGCCTACCCCCAAAAGTGATTGACTTGCTGAAAGAAGGAAACTTCGGGTTATGACGGAATAATATTCGCTGTAGGAAAGTAAAAGTTAAAAGCTAACCAAAATTATTAGTATAGCTAACTGAGAATTGGCCAAAAAAATAGTAGTTAACTGAGAATTGGGTACCCCCATTAGCACCCTCTAATTTCAATATACGTCTACACGCTAGGAATAAGAAAGTATTGAGATCTGCCAAGTACGGTTAATAAGCGTTCCTTACCATACCTACTAATTTTAACATGTCTGCTGGCTAGGTACAAAAAAAGTATTGAGATGTGCCAAGCACGCTTAATAAGCGCTTCTGACCATACCTACCAATTTTCAATACGTCTACACGCTAGGGATAAGAAAGTATTGAGATGTGCCAGGAACGATTTTAAAAGAAAGCGTTCCTGACCATACATTTCAATTTCAACATGTCCACAGGCTAGGGATAGGAACAGCTGTAGGAAGGTATTGAGATTTTCCAAGTAGAATTAATAAGCGTTCTTGCCCATACCTAGCACTTTCAACATGTCCTCAAGTTAGGAGTAAGAAAGTATGAGATGTGCCAAGTACGATTAATAAGCTTTCCTTACCAATACCTACCAATTTTAACATGTCTACAGGCTAGGGATAAGAAAGTATTGAGATGTGCCAAGCACGATTAATAAACGTTTCTGACCATAAATACCAATTTCAACATGCCGACAGGCTAGGGATTTGAAAGTTTTGAGATGTGCCAGGTACGATTAATTAGGGTTCCTGGCTATACATACCAATTTCATCATGTCTACGGGAAAGGGATAAGAAAGTGTTGAGATGTGCCAAGTACGATTAATAATCGTCCCTGACCACATTTACCTGTTTCAACCTGTTTGCAGCCTATAGATAAGAAAGTATAGAGATGTGGCAAGTATGATTAATAATCGTTTTTGACATTCTCTACCGAGTCGTACGTCCCCCGCGGGCTAAGGAAAGAAAGTATTGAGACGTGCCAAGTACGATTAATAATCTTTGCTGATCACATTTACCAGTTTTAACCTGTCTGCCGCAGGCTACTGGTAAGAAAGTATAGAGATGTGCCAAGTTAATTAATAATCGTCCCTGACCACATTTACCAGTTTCAACCTGTCTGCAAGTTATAGATAAGAAAGATGTGCCAAGTACGATTAATAATCGTTTTTGAAAATCTTTACCAAGTCCTACTTGCCTGCAGGCTAAGAGAAGAAAGTATTGAGATGTGGCAAGTGCGATTAATAAGCGTTCCTGACCATACCTACCAATTTAAACACGTCCACAGGCCAGGGATAAGAAAGTACTGAGATGTGCCAAGAACGATTAAATATCGTTTTTGACAATCTCTACCAAGTCCTACATGTCTGCAGGCTAAGGAAAGAAACATGATGATCCTTAGGACTTAGAGATCAGCGAAGTCGGTCGATCTTAAATTACCGATTGCGCAATGTAAAACAAAATGCGTGTTGACAACTCACATATTACAACATATATTACGATCCTCTCTAAATCACAACGACTGAATGTTTTCACTTTATTCACAAGTCATCGCTTGACAGCTTACCCAAAGTAATTAGAAATTTGAGTCGTTGCTCTTAATGTCAACATAGAAAAACTCCTGGGACCTCTCAAAGCAAGCCGCGACAAACGGCAAGTAAAACGCGTGCGAACAATGTGCGTGTGAGTTGCAAATGCTGAGTTTAAACACTTTTGTTTTGCGTGAGTGTGTGTGTGATCTTTAGCTAAAAGCGAGGGAAACTAAATGCATGTCGTAACAATTATTCCGAAAACAAATCTTACATAGAATTCTTTAGTCAGTTTGCGAAGGTTTACGCAAGTAGAATAATTATTTTGCCAACGGAAGGCCTTTTTGTTACAAGAGATATGTATTCGTTGCTTGAACGACTTTAAACTGCGAGCAGTCTGATTATTTTTCCGTGCAAAGTTACCCAAGGCGTAAACCATGCACACAAGCGGCGAAGCCGCGAACTGCTAAACGGAGGGCGTCTCGACCGTCACTGATTTAACTAAAAAGCTTTGGCCAAAAACGGAATCAGGATGGTAGTGTCATGGAATTTACCTCTCTTTATCTTAAAAAAAAATTATCTTTCGCACAAAAGTATAGTGTAACGGTATTTTTTACGGAAATATAAGTCTAAAGGTAAGTCGGAAAATTACAGAAATTCCAGGGGGTGGGTCTAAAACAAAAGTGCCTCCCGTGTGTGGGAGGGGGGTGGGTATAAATATTTTTTGAAGCTACACATTACAGACTTCACTGAAAATTCTCCGATCTTTAATCTTGCATAAAATATTGGGGTGTTAAAAGATCTCTTAAAAAGGTCATCGGCAGTGAAATACTTGAATGTTTTTATCATTTCCGTTTCTGTATTGGGAATCGGTCATGCGTAAAGTCGCCCTGGTTGTTGACTTGGACGAAGGTATCGCAAATCGCCTTGTGTCATTTAAAAGTGTGGTGTTAAAATGGTTGCTATGCCTTTGAAGATCTGTCAAGTACAACGAGTGTGCTTCGCTTCGATTTAAGCAAGAAGTTAAATATTCCTATACAGTGGCCTTCCGGTGTAATCAGGTCAGTTTCTTTCATTAAAACACTTACTTGCTTTCAATGATGTGATAAACACGTGTTGATATACGCGCACATTTAATATTCTAGGCCGTTGCGCGAAGGGTTTGTCTTGAAATCAGGGCAAGGAAGAGACGTTATAGCTCGTTATTTATGTCTGCGAGTAGCAGTTATTCTGTTTTATAAAATAACTGAGATAGCACGCGTGATCTGATTGGTCAAAAACCTATGGTTTATTATACCAGTAAACCCATAGAAAAAGACATCCGGACCACGAGCCATAAACAAAACCGGCTATTGATCTGCAAACAATGATTTTAGAAAGGCTAAAAAACAGAACAAGTTACTTACCCAGCCCTTCTTAACATCAAAAGCGTTGGTTTCCACATTTTATTAATGCCATAGCTTTAGAAGTAATAAAGTACAAAGCTGGAAAGCAGTTTACATTTCACGACGATGCCAAATCGCAGAGAAAGACAACAACTGTGTGAATTTCTGGTGTAGAAAGTCTCCAGGAAAACTTAACCATGTGCCAACCAGCAACAAAACGGATAGTTTTAGCATTCTTGATTTATTTCATGTCAAAATTAAATTCCTTAATGAAAGAAATTGTTCCAAAAAGAGATCTCTGATCAAGATATGGTACAAAATCGGCCGCTGTAGGTTGTAAACAAGCTGCCAACGATGATGAAAGATGTCAGAGTTTCGGGCTGGTTTTTTTCCAACATTTGCACAAATTATTCGGTGATATCGATGCCATAACCTACCTCAAACCACCCGACTTTACAAATCGACAAATATTAACGCCAATATGTGGCTACGGCAAAGAAACCTTTCTCCACCACTGACATATTTCCATCGGTCGCTTTACGTGCATATAAAGTTACATGCGACAACTTCGCAAATGCAGCCACGTCGTCACCGCAGCATTTCTTAATCATAATAAAGTCCAGAAAACGGATCTTAAACCAACGCGGCTTGTAAAATGTGAATGAAGTCCTCCATTACAATAGCTGCCAGTTCCGTCTGTAAGCACGAAATTCTTACGGATCGACACAACAAAATACAGCTGCGTACAGTCTGATGTTCAATTAATTTCTACTTCTGTAGTAAACAAACCATGAACGTATTCTTTCATTGTACGTTCGCATGAATATGTTGACTTTTCCTGTAAAACAGCTTTCATAAGTTATCATGTAATGAGTGCAAAAACTCGTGTTTTGAAGTGTTGCTGTTTGTTGTTTGACTGAACTGAGTTTTGAGAAAGTTCAGCGCTATTAAATCGTGAGTCATGATTGGCTTATGATGACTTTAGAGAGAAGACATGACTTGATCACGGTACTAAAACAATATTTTTTACCTAAAAGACTCCATTCTACTAAAAGTTATTTTATAAAAGCAATAGACCACACTTTCTATGGGTTTACCGGCGTGATAACCCACGCGGGACAAGAAAAGTAAATAGTTAACAATTATTCTTTGAAATCGAGGTGAATAGTGGCTAAATATTCCTAAAGCCACTATTCACCGAGATTGAAAAGAATAATTGTTTTAGTATATACGCACGAAGTGATCTCAGCAAAACCTGAGAGGAAACCATTAAAAAGTACGATTTGATTGACAGATCAGGTCAGCTAGACACGCCAAAGTTTAAAAATAGATCTTTGTAGAGTTCTCAAACATGGCAATTCACAAGCTTATCACTTCAGAAATAACAGCGTAATGACTTAAATGGAACCGCTAAAAGTTTGAATTGTTTCCTTACCTGAGAAGAAAAGAAGAGCTTTGTTGTTTTCTGTTGACTCGCCAAGTTTATAGCCGAAAAGGTTTGTTGTGTCGTTCTTCGCATGAAGTCCTGACAAAAATGGCGATTCGGTTCCTCGAGGTAAGACGTCGTCTTCATGAAGCATTCTTTCTCCTATTTACTTGAAACGTAGAATTTCTGCAAACAGTTGCTATCAAATTTGTTTTTCATAAATAAACTTCGTTTTGGAGCCAAGTTTTTCTTGTTAGGAAACGCTGAGTTCACGAAACGGCCTCTTCTAGGCGAATAAACGGGAGTTGTAAACAATCCATCAACCACAAAACTCAACTACAGTAAATAGAAAAACGCCGTTTTGAATCCTTCAAATTCTTTTCTTGCCTGAAAAAAAGTCAACCCAAGGATTTTGTCGACTTTTAAAAGATCGTTCTCTAAAAAAATGGGAAAAAAGCCGAGCTCACACATTATCCACTCGCTGGGAGGTGAATATTGTTGATTAGTATGTACACACTCAGTGATCTTGGTGATTTAAGCAATCTGATTGGTTCGCTATCTCGGACTATTCAACAATATTCACCTCCTAGCGAGTGGATAATGTGTGAGCTCGGTGTTTTTCCCGTTTTTTTTAGAGAACGATCTTTTAAAAGTCGACAAAATCCTAGGGCTGACTTTTTTTAAAGCAAGAAAAGACTTGGAAGGATTCAATACGGCGTTTTTCAATTTACTGTAGCAGGATCGGAGTTTTGTGCTCGATGGATTGTTTACAACTCCCGTGTATTCGCGTAGAAGAAGCAGTTTCGTGAACTCAGCGTTTTCTAAGAAGAAAATTTTGGCTCAAAAATCGAAGTTTATTTATGACAAACAAATTTAAAAGAAAATGTTTGCAGAAATTCTACATTTCAAGTAAACAGGAAAAAGAATGATACAGGAAGACGACCTCTTACCTCGAGCAACCAAGCCGCCATTTTTGTCAGCACTTCATGCGAAGAACGACACAACATGCCCTTTTGGCTATAAACTTGGCGAGTCAACAGAAAACAACACAGCTCTACTTTTTTTCTCAGGTAAGGAAACAGTTCAAACTTTTAGCGATTCCATTGAAGCCATTACGCTGTTGTTTGCGAAATGAGTAAACTTGTGAATTGCCATGTTTGAAAATTCTGCAAAGATCTATTTTTAAACTTACGCGTGATTTGATCTGTCAATCAAATCCTACTTTTGAATGGTTTCCTTTCTGATTTTGTTGAGATCACTTCGTGTGTATATACTAAAACAATTATTCTTCTCAATCTCGGTGAATAGTGGCTTTGGGAATATTTACCTCGCCGCTTTCGCGGCTCGGTAAATATTTTGCCACTATTCACCTCGATTTCAAAGAATAATTGTTAAATAGCCCGAGATAGCGAACCAATCAGATTGCTTAAATCACCAAGATCTGAGTGTGTATATACTAAATTTGGATATTTTTGCTGGCCTTGTTGGACTTATTTGCCGCTTTTTCTGTGTGATCGCTTCGCTTTTCATCGCTAGCCGGATTAAAAAGAGAGAACTTGTCAGCAATCGAGCGGCGATCGCAGCGATTTTGATGTAACGATTGACTTGAGAGGCAGGTATCGGATTTGATCAACACCTTAATCTCAATGGATGACAATAGTACCCGTTACATTTTGCTTCCTAATGCCATAATTTGTAAACTAGAGGTCTTGCACGATCCAGTGCCGAGTTTTGTATCTCGATCGCTGCCGTATTGCTAAGTTGTTGGTTTATAATTGTAGTGTGTACTTTTTTCAAGCTGTAATACTTAGTTATTAACTTTCATTATTCATTCAAAATATTTCCCCGATTCTGATTGGCTAAAAGCACACGTTTAATTCACCATAACCAGTTACTGATGACCAAATTTGGAAGAATTTTGACTTTAACGAGGAAATGACGTCAAAAATGCAACGTTTTCTTAGGTTAAGGCACCGTTAACCGAGAAGACCTGGGGACGAGGTTGAGTTGTTTTGGTTGTGAACTCGAAAAAATGGCGGACATTTCATTCGTTTCAAGTGTATGAACTAGGCGAAAAAATAGCTAAAAACACGTCAAGAACAGCAAGAAGACAACTCGAAGGGCGACATCTGCTATTTGGAGAATATTTGCGGAGCTGGACAAACCTAAACGTACACTATCGAAGATGAACTGAACATCGATGGATCGATGGAAGTAAGTATGTTTTAGCTATGTTTTTAAACTAGGAATTATTTTGAATGAATAATAAAACAGTTATTGAATTTGGCTTTCGTATCATATATAGAGAATACTTCATGGAAAGTGCTGGCGTACGGTATTTACGCACGAGTTGTTGACGTATCAGAAATTGAACGAGTGAGCGCAGCGAACGAGTAAGATTTCTGATACAAAAACAAGAGTGCGTAAATACCGTACAAAGCACTTTCCATGTGGTATTATGTTTATTATATACATACTGAGACATTCATCATTTTGGCGGCCTTTTTATTTTAAATCTTTCAAAAATGCTAAAATTTCCCGCTACACACTTTCCGCAAAATGACAACGAAAACGAAGTATCAGCTTTTTAGTAAAAACGTTTTGTTAATAAATGACGGTAAGGATATGAGGTAATCCAAGAACTATAAGTAATCTTAACTGTTTGTTCTCAATGCACAATTGAAAATGAGTGAATTTAAGTAAAATGGCCGGTTTCAATATAAGCTTAAGCTTAAATGAAAGGCAAAGTAGCTCCGACAAAAAGCACAACAAAAGCTTACGTCTCGTTCGCTGTTGTTTCGCCGGCTCTCTACCGTTTCTTTATCGACAGTGAAACAAACGAAACTACTCCACTCCATTTAAGAAATGTTTTTCACTTTTCTAGCGAGAAAAACTCTTTGAGTAAAATTTTCTCGTTGAATGTGTGCGAAGCGGCGCTGCAAGCTGCAATAAAAGGCGGGAATTTTGGCGCGAAACTCACACACCTCTGTGGCTTCTGATTGGACGTATCATTTTCCTCACACGTGAAAAAACATCGTTGGCGATTCTGATTGGACGTATCATTTTTTTCACGTGTGAAAACCATCGTTCGCTCCTCTGATTGGCTAGAACTAATTTGCGTACGAAAATTTAGGACATAGCTTTTTGGTGAGTATTTCTCAGTATGTATATAACTAGGGTATCTAAAAGATAGTAATGCTGCGGCACATTCTGTTGATACTGGCATTAGTTAGGCAGTGAGACTTAAAAGAATCAAAAATGACATTGAATGTCCCAATTTATATACATGTTGGAAAGTACTAGAATAATTACTATCAGTCTATAGAAAGAACTCGTGGGAACCTTGTTTAGAAAATTATCAAGTGGTTATCAACTCTGGTTTTCCCACAGTAAATTGTAGGAAATAATAGAAATTCAGATCGTTTATCCATATATTTAATATCCGGTGCACGATATTTTCTCTGGAAACACAATACTTTTCTTACTGTTTGTTGCATTTTATTAAGTAACAGTTATTTAGCTATATATTTATAGAAAACAACAACACAAAAAACGGAAAAAAAGAAAAAAGGAACGAATAATTCAGCAGGACTCGAACCCGGCACCTTCGACTCGACGCGAGTACACCTAACCACTACCTGCCTGTACATGCCTGTAAATTGAAAGGCCTGTGATTGTAGAACTCTTGATTTCGGTAAATGTGGTGTGGGTACAGATCGAAATGATGGTCCTTGCATTTTTCTACATGTCACGCACTTGGTGATGATTCTTTTAACTATAACTGTCGACCTTGTGGTATCCAATATGTTTGTCTGATGTGAGTTAGTGTTTCACAAACTCCACCATGCATAACCGTCTTGTGCATAGATTGGACGATGAGTGTAGTCAAGTAATTATCTTTTGGCATAAGGATGGGAAACTTTGCATCGTAGGGTAGATCTGGGTACTGTACCCTTCCACGACAGCGAAGTAGGTCTTCATCGTCAAGATAAAGATTGAGTTGCCGTACGATGGCAGGTTTTTTTTTAATTTATCGCTCTTCTTTAGGTATGATATTTCATGTTTGTAAGTTATTTGTTGAGTTGCTTTTAGTAACAAATTTCTGGCTTCCAGTATTTCTTTTGTGGTGAGGATGTTATCATTATACACTTCAGGTGTTTTCCACTTTCTTGCAAAGAGGACAAGAAGGGCAGTGACTCTGACTACGCGTATTAGAGTGCTGTATTTCGTTAAGTCAATGACGTTCAGTATGTTTGGATTTTCTTCAATACCTGGCATAACTGTAACTGCCAATTGTAGGCTCTCCTACTCTGCATGGATTGATGTTCCGGGTTGTGGAGGCCATTTGTCTTCTGGCTCTCTCAGCCATGGCGGTCCTTGAAACCATAGCGGTTTCCTGTCGTTGAATATTTTTGTATCAAGTCCCCGAGTCAGCAGGTCGGCTGGATTCATCGATGTTGGGCAAAATCTCCATGAGTTGGATGATGTTATTTCTTTTATCTTGTGTACTCGCGTACGAACAAATTGTGGTAATTGTTTAGTAGACGATATCCAAGATAACACTATTTGGGAATCACTCCAGTATATATGACTTCGCATTTGGTTTTGGTGAGCTGTAGTGTCTTGGTTAGATATTCAGATAATTGCGCTCCTAAGAGTGCTGCTAACAGTTCCAGTCATGGAAGGGTCTGTGTTTTAATGGGTGCAACTCTGGTTTTAGCCATTGTGAACGCAGTGTATATTTCAGCTCCTGACATTCCTCTTAGGTAAGCTACTGCTCCGTAAGCTAGTTAGCTGCTGTCGCAGAATATATGAAGTTGCCTATTAGAAATGCTTGTGAGGAAGTATGGTCTGCGTATTTCAACTGACGTCAAATTGCTGATATCGCTGATCCAGTTTAGCCATTGGTCTTTATGTTCGCTTGGAACATCCTCATCCCAGCTTAAGTTTTGTTTCCATAGATCCTGGATCATGATCTTTGCTTTAACTGTAATGGGTTCAACATATCTCAGGTGGTCAAACAATTTTGACGCAAAGCTGATCCTGGATCTCTTAGTAAGTTTTGTGATAGCTTCTGATTTTCTGATCATTTTTTCTAGTGAAAGGGATATCATGTCATTTGTTGAATTCCACGTGAGTCCTAGGATTTTTGTCGTTTGAGCTGGATGTGCATTATCTTCTTGTGCTCTGCGATTTAAAGCGGTTGAGTTAGAGGTCCACTGTCGTAGATTCATTTCTGCTTCTTGTAGATAACTTCGCGACAAAGAATAATATTCTAAGGCTTTATCGTCACAATTAGTTCCTGTGACCACATTGTCCATATACATGTTCTCTGTTAGGTCCTTCGTTATCCAGTTATCTTTTTCGTTGAGGTGATATCGTATTGTTGCGTTTAGTAGAAAGGGTGAGGGCGCTGCTCCAAATAGAACGCGGCAAAATCTGTAAGCTTCCAAATTGTCCACACTGTTAACGGATTTGTTTATGTCTTTTAGCCATAAGAATCTAGTAGCGTCCCTGTCTTGGTTATTTAGTTGGATTTGTAGGAAAGCTTTTTCTATATCTGCTGTGAAGGGTATTCTGTAGGTCCTGAACTTTAGTAGGATACCAGTTAGATCCTGCATTAGATTTGGACCTGGGTGTAGAGAGTCATTAAGACTCAATGCTTCTGATGACACTCTAGCAGATGCGTCATAAACTATGCGCATCTTGGTTGTCGCGCTGTCTGTTTTAGAAACGGGGAAGTGGGGAATGTAATGCAAAATGCCTTCGTGAAGACCGAGGTTCCTCACTTTCTCTATGAAACCGAGATTAACTTGTTCAAGGAGTTGTTGGTTGTATTTCTTAATAAGTCCTGGGTCTTTCTTGTTGAGGCTGTTTAGAAGACTGTTCAATCGTCTTTTGCTTTAAATGAGGTTTGTTGGTAGATCGTGTTTGTTTAGTTTCCATGGGAGTCTTACGTTGTATCTGCCAGTTACCTTGTTAAATCGGATGGTCTTCTGAAATTTTATGATGATATCATCATTTTTGTCGCTTTCTTCTGGTATTTTGTTGATTTCCCAGAACTTGGTTAATAGGTTGTCGAGTTTTGACTCTTCTGCTGGCATGATTTCGATCCTTTGACATAGTGTGTTTAAGTCGTTTTCATGGTTGCTCTCGTTTTGAACGGGTCCTGACAGGAGCCATCCGAATTTGCTTTCTATAGCAATCAAGGCTTCGTTTTCAGTTTTTATTATTTTTCCAGTAATCAGCTGACTGTAATAGTCGTTTCCAATGATGATATCTACGTCAAGATTTTGTGATGATAGCAAACGATCTGCAAGTTTGAGTCCTTTTAATTCAGGAGGTTATATCTTCAGATTCTTCATCATGACTGATAGCGGTGGACAAATAATTGGAGTTACCAGCGCTTTTACTTTGATATTCTCTTTTTCTGTCGATAGCGAAAATGAGACAATATCATATGCTTTTCTTGTACTTTGAAATGAGCCGAATGAGGTTACATCCAGGAGTTCTTTTCCCATTGTTTGTAGTTCAAGTTTGTGCTTCATATCTTGAGTGATAAAGGTTCTTTGTGATCCCGTATCGAACAGGATGCGAGCTTGACGATATTGTTTACCGTCTCCACTTATCTTTGTGATGGCGGACTGCATCAGGATATGATTTGTAGGATGAAGGGAATGTGTTGCTCCCATGTGGGTTGTGTTCTTCGCTATGGTATTTGTAGGTGACTGACTACTGTTTGAATTTCTGTTTTCTTTCATTTGATATGATGAGCTTTGTGTTGGATTTTCTTGTTTTTCTTCGCAAATTGAAGTATGGTGTTTCTTCTTACATTTCATACATCGACCTTTTGAGTAGCATTCAATTTTCGTGTGTTTGAGTCCAAGACAGTTTAGACATCTTTGTTGGCGTTCAGGGATAGATCGCCGTTCCTCTACAGATGTTATTTTGTCACATTTCTCTGGGCGGTGTATTTCCGTGCAGTAGGTGCATGGTCGTGATGCTTTCGATCTTCTGTTGAGAAATCTTTGTTTTTGTTGAGCATTGGTTAGTAGAGCGCCAGCGGTTGGTACGAATACTTCTCCGTCCATGGCAACAGACGTGGAATCTTCTAGAGAGGATATGTGGCTTTTCTCTCGTGTTTCAATTTCTTGTCGTATGGCTACCCTCAATCTATCCAGGGAGCTATCTGCTAAAGGATCTGCTCTGAATATTAAGCGGCGTATGTCCTCGGGTATTTTCTTTAGGAGTATGGGAATTAGCAAACTTCCATATGATTCGGTCATTACTCCAAGTGTTTCTAAGCCACAAATATTGGCTTCGCATGTATCGTGAAATTCCCTTCAATTTTTAGTGTCACTAGATGGCGCGTGGATCTTGGATAATGATTCCATGTAAGCGTTGGTCAAATTTTGGGTTTTGCCAAAACGCTCTTTTAATAGCTCAGTTGCCTTTCTGTAATTTTTTTTCAGTCAATGGCAGACCAGAGAAAGCGCGCGCTGCTTCTCCTTTAAGCATTCCATTTAGATAATTCATTTTTTCAACATCACTTAGTTCAAGATTTTTATCGATAGCTGCACTAAAGCTATCCCAGAATCTGAGCCATTCAAGTGGATCTCCTTCAAATGATTTGATGTTTATCTTGGGTAAATTGATATGTATTCGAGGTGTTGGTGCTTGTTTGAAACTACTATGATGGAACTGACTCACCGGCGTTTCTTGTTTACTCTTTATAAATTGTTTAATTTTGAATTGCCAGTCCGATATATTGTCTTTAAACAATAGGGCTGATTCTGTGTCTTTTAGAATATCTTCTCCTGTCTCCAAAGACAGCGTGATCTGAACTCTTTGAACTCTTTGAAGTTATGAGTTTTTCTGCCTTTTTAAAATCTTGTGTACAGTGTCCTTTGTAGGCTGCTCGGATCGATTTCATTTTGCTTATATCCTCTGTCATTTTCGCCTGGTCTCGGCACCAATGTTACAATTATTGTAACGACATAGTATCTCGATGGTCAAGATACCTGTTTTCTTTATTCTGTGAATCTTAGAAGTACATTGCGCACATTGTGACGTCATAATTACATAATTTATGACAAACAAAACACGAAAATTATAAATGATAATGATGATGAGGTAGATGACAAGAGTGGAAAAAAAAACCCTGGTTTTCTGAAAAAAGGCAAATCACTAACTCTTCCCAGTCATTTCTGAACAATTTGGCCATACATGCGTCCCATTTTATACAAGACGCATTTAACGTCTGAGACGTTAAAAGTCGTCTGTTAAGTGCGTCCTATATATTATCCGATGGATAGTACTATCCATCTTTAGAACAACCAGGGCCAGGACGTCAGCGTTCTCGTTGCTTAAAGCTCGTTTATATCAGCACCGTAGAGCGCAGGATAAAGCCTAGTGTGAGGGTCCCAAATGGAGTGTTTTCACTCACGTGGCCAGCATCTATGCAAATTTATTGGAACAAAAGAAAGCGTTTGCATAAGAAAAGAGTTCAACTCCAATAGGATTGGTTTGGAACACCAACATGGCCGTCGTGACGTCATGTGAAAACGCTCGATAGCTTTCTTCAATATCAATAATGATACGTAATAAGAAGAATAACGCCATTTCCATTCCTGTCCAATGGCGCTTTACAACGACTCTCAAATGTTTTAAAAATAATATTGATTTGAATAATAATGCACTGTTTAAGAATTTTAAAATTAAGCTAAGTGTTAAAATTAACAATATTGTTAAAAAGGATAAAAAAATGAATAAAATCGAATAAAGAAAATGTAGCAAATATGTTCCTAGGACGATCATAAATTAATAGCCTTCTTAAAAAGATAAGTTTTCACCGATGGTAAATTTTAGCATCCTGCGTGCCACGCATATTTTAAATTCCGAATCTCACTTCCATTTTGCCTTGAAATCCCGAATCCCGACCTCGGTTCAGATTATGGCCAATCCGGGATCTCAAAAAACCTATTAGCGACCCTCTAGACCTTCTAACATAACAAACGCGTATAGGCTGAGAGGCATTGTAGTCCTTGCAAATCTCTTTAAACATTAATATGCAATTTGCATATGTCATGTGATATATATTAGATAATTAAACCACTGAAATTAAGAATCACAGAGTATGGTAGAAATCTAGAATCTTCATTGGATGACATAGAGGTTTCTTGCCTTTTTCCTCACTCTGTTCCGTTTTATCTCCCTTTGCACCTCCCTTTGTCGTTGTATATTCTTTGCTAGTTGTGCTCTTCGTTATTACTGACAAGGTTGAGGCAGCAGTGGTCGTTTCTGAGAAAAGGAAAAACCGTTAATATTCTTTTTTTTTTCAGACCATAAACACTTTAAACATTTTAAAATGTTTAAAGAAGTGCGCAAGCTAGCTTTTATTGGCTATAAAGAGGGGTCATGAATTTGCGCCCTACAAATGGCTATATTATTATTATTATTATTATTATTATTATTATTATTACTATTATAATTATTATTATCATTAAGTTCCTTCACCATGCCTTTAGTCGCATTTGTGCATAGCACGCAGGGTACCCAAGTTAAATTAGACCAAGCTCGCGTCAAGTCAACGAAAAACAACTTCTAAGCTAACGAAAATCGTTAACAAGACACGGAACCTCTCGGAGTAGTTTCACGTATTTCGTACACAGAGCGGGACCGGACTTACGGGCCAAAACAAACGTTAAGTCCGTCCAACCCCCCCACCACCATGGAACCTCTCAAATCCCGGACATCACTTACCTGGGCATTGATTGTCGCAGTACGACGCGTTGAAACCGGTGGAAGACACACTACTATCCGATATAAACATAACAAATACTTCATTTGACGAAGAGCAAATTCCTCTTATAGGGGGAGGATGTTTCCCGTAGAACACTCCCAGTTCCTTTCCCTCTTCATTCTTGCCATCGTAGACGTATAATGCATCCGTGTTGTTCTCGTTTTGCAAGCTGAACGTTGTAAATACTAAGTGAATTCGCTGGGCTGGATTGACCGTGATCCTCCACGAGCAGTATTGTCCATTCGGGTATTTTGCTGGATAGTTTGGCGAGTGAAAAGTTCCTCTGGTTCCATTTAAGAGTGTATTGCATCCTACAAAAAAAATGAGAGTATCAGACAGCTATGTTGGAATATACAGTCGACGTTGCGAACGTTGCAAACAACTAAACAACTCAATAATACGAACAGTTTCGAACAGCAGCTAAACCCTTCACAAAATTAAGTTGCAGACGGGGAAAAAAAAATTAACTTCCGCTATTCCAACCCTCTGTTGATGACTCTAACTTGCGATCTTAGGATTATGGATTATTCGCAAAAGAGGGAATTGACTGTGTAGCTCAATGATTGAATAACTGTCATTAACAATGCTAAAACTGGTCATATTTCGAAAAGTGAGCAAAACGTTTCTTGCATTTCCTAGAATCGTGATCACCTCCTCTTCGAACCTTGCGAGAGAAGACGATATGTTTTAGGGAAGAGTGTGGGAGGCCATCAAAATGTTTTATTGGGTTCCAACAATGAACTGAGACGCTGGTTACGAGCTCCCCGCGAACAATAGGGACGCTTTGTCACGTGATTCGCAGTATAAATCAAGTTACGTCCAACTTCATTACGTGATAAAGATTCCACCGTGGAACGAAATGACAGCTTGTGCATAATAAGTTCTTCTACCTTGGGATTTGAAAGTTCGTTTACTCTAGAAATTGAACATGTTTCAAAGAATTAATCAAATAGAGAGTAAAAATTTATGTGTATCTAAATTAGGTTAGAAATTATGTGCAAGTCTAAAATAGTAGGTCTTTAACTGTTTCTCAAAATACTATAATTTCCTTGCTTCCTAATTACTACCTGTCAAATGTTCCAAATAGTGGGGGAAGCCATTTTAAAGCCGAGCCCTGTCTCCTAGGTAGTGGATTTCGGATTCTTTGTCAGTGGGATTTGTATTTCGGATTCAAATCTTTAGTTGGATTCCGGACTCCTTGAACTGTATTCCAGATTCTAAAACCGAGGATTACGGATTCCAGAAGCCAAAATTTCCCATGTATGAAATTAACCAACGGCACACTGACAAATTGAGCACCGGAAGTCGAGTTCAATCCTTTCCGCCCGTTTTCGCGTTTTCATTTATGTCGCGTTGACTTTGCTAAATCCGCCTATAATACTTACCACGATAGTAGCAGTAATGAATTGTAGGGTGTCGTGTCTCAGCATTATAAGGATAGGGCCATCTTCTGTCGTCCCTATTGTTAACCTTTTCTGTGTCGTAATATATCCATTCTGAGGTCGCTATCGCCCATTTGACCATTTGGCATTCACCTGATCCATAAGCCAACAGAAAAAATGGGAGTTTAGTTGGGAGGATGATGGGTTCTCTCTTGTTACCGTCTGTTCTGCAGCAAAACCTTATCTCTGTGTTATCGCCGACATATTTGCCAGCAGGACACGTTCCACCTTTAGAGTTCGCGTTCAAAGAATTTTCATCGTCCCACTCGACGAAACCAATGTGCATAACGTAAGGGCACTTCCCTTTTTTATAAATACAGTATTGACCTGCAGAGGAAGTTAAAATGAAGGGAATTTAATATACGAACAACAACACGATCATCATCATCAGCCGCATCCTAATCGTCGTCGTCATCATCATCATCATTTCTATTACTTTTATTAAGATCATAAAAGTTATGATTATGATGATGATTATGATTTTTAGCAATTATTTAATAAGGCTGAGTATAATCTGCAAAATACTTGAGATCCAACCAATGGTTGTTTTGTTATTCATTCAAAATAATTGTTACTTTAAAACACGCTTTCCTCGATCGATGTCAAGTTCCCGTCTTCATCATCTTGTTCCTCGTCAAATTCAGGATATGAAGAGCTGTTTAGTCAAATAACGGAACGTCGCAAACGTCTTAACAATCTGGTCAACGCTAGCTGGTTATGAAGAATTAGCCGGGGAATTTGAGCCAATCAGCAACGGAGAAATGTTTTAAGTGGATAATAAGTGATGATTATTATTATCGTGTAAATCAGGCTTGCATGACTTCGCTTCCTTTGAGCAATAAGGATCAGAATTCACAGAAAAAGGTTAACATTGCTGTTTTAATCATTTATTAAAGTACCAATGCATAGTGAGCACTGTACAGTACCGCAAATGATCCCCAACCGCAAATGATCCCCAACCGCAAATGATCCCGAGACCGCAAATGATCCTCAAAATGGACCGCAAATGATCCTCGACCGCAAGTGATCCCCAAAGTCGACCGCAAATGATCCCGAAAGAAAAATAGGAATGGCTTAGACTCGAGTTAGCGGATCGTCGTGACGATTTTATTATTAATACAAAAAGTAACATTAGACGCTAAATTTCAGTTCTTAAATAAATACGTATATACATGAATAAAAACTAAATGAAAAAAATCATTCAAGTGTAAAACCAAGTCGGTAGGCAACACACGACTTTTAGCTCATGCCAAAATGCTGCTTGTACTAATGAATTTTTTTCTCTGGCGGGTAGACTACACCTGAAGGAAAACGTTTTGACTGAGCAAATGTGATTTTTGCCGCTTATTTCATACTGAGAGGTCATGACACGCATTTTCTGCGGCTATTGTTGTTTGTGGTCGGCATGATTTGCTGGATTTGTCCTTTAATGCAAGAGCATTTTTTCACCTCTTTTGAAATGCAATGCTTCTCGTTCCGGCTAAATAAGGGTTTTAGGTTGTTTAATTTTCTTTTAAGTGCCTCATGGATCCGAACAATTATAAGCGACTTTCTTTTAGTCCGTGAATGTGACGGTTCCTACGATGTTTTGTCACGCGATAACTACCGCTTGCCTCGCTTTTGCGTTTCTCATTACCAGGTTTAGATTCCTGGTAACTGTCTACAGCAAAGGCAAAAAAATGGATATACATATAAGCGTCAATGTAACTATTCGCAACATGTTCATGAGCTGTAGGCAAGTTGCTCTTTCAAAATTAACCGAAAACTGTGGACATCGATAAGTTCGGTGGCATTTTGACGTGTGTTTATTTCAAATCACGTCTTGTTTTTTAACTGTGCACTGCCAGGCCTGGGGCACTCATAAGTTACCAACCAATGTCTTGCTGTTTACCACGTAAAATTTACACTTCAGAGAAAAATCAAAACTAAATATTCTGAAAATTAATTCGACGCTTCTAAAAAGATATGTAGAGGGTGCCCGGCTTTGTATTCCTCAGTAGACAAGTTGAGCTTGGGCGTTAAAATAATAGAGTTTTTTCTGCGTAACGTCCTGCCTGTCTTAAATTTTCAGCGACGAAACAGTTCTTGAAAGAAAATTGAAGCAATTGACAAAGGAAGAAGTATACGGTTGATACCATATCCTCTTCAGATTTATTCTACTTTTTTTTTCGCCTTGTATAAATTGACCTGAGATGTAGCGTCCTCCTTCCCTTTTTCTTTAGAAGGTGCGAGAAAAAGGTTCCTTTTTTTATAATCAGTCCTTTTTTGTAATCAGTCCCATAAAATCCATTCCATTCCTCAAGTTTTCACGGGATCATTTGCGGTCAACTTTGGGAATCACTTGCGGTCGAGGATCATTTGCGGTCCATTTTGGGGATCATTTGCGGTCTCGGGATCATTTGCGGTTGGGGATCACTTGCGGTACTGTACAGCACTCTAGTAACAACGGCCCAAAGGATGTCAACATGTTTCGGGAATATTCAGTTAAATGTGGGGCTTTGTGTCTAATTTTGGACCGTTGGTTAACTGGAGCATGTTTATTTAGTTTTCGTTCATTCAGCAGCCAAACTCTAAGTTACTCACATGTTTTATATTAGATGCAAAATGTAAAGAGTAATTTTTACTACCGACGCACGAACGAAACCTCTCTGCGTTTTTAAAATTAAGAACGAGTTGCCGTTGGATACGAATGGAAGAAGCAAGTTCTCAGCTTTTTTTTAACAGAATTACAAGAAACTTTATTCTTGTTCTCCAACAAGGTGACACGACGGCTAAGTCAGTGGTCAATGCAATAAAAAATTATTTTAAAGAATTTGCATCAAAATGGAGTTAAGTTGCCAGGGGATAGAAATGTTTTTGTTCCTGAACACCAACAAGGCTGCCATGACGTCACGTGCAAATTAGCAATTAAAACAGTAGTGCCTCAGTTCTATATTTGAAGGAACTACAGTAACTCGTGAAATGCTGAGTACACTTGCAACACCTGCATCTTGTTTTGTCCCAAAAATAGCAGTCAAGCAGGAACACGCTGCCATCAGCTAAGTGAGTGAAGCGAGACCAAGTCATCGAAATGGCCAGGCATAAAAGATCGCCTGGTGTTTATGCTGCGCTCCGTTTTTAAACGGCATAACCTAAACGTACGCACAACCGAAAGCAAGGGCCAATTTAATAAACCTTTCACAAGTGCAATTTACAAGTGTAGCTATTGTTACTAGACTCTAAAACAATGGCTACACTAGTAAATTACACATGTAAAAGTTTTATTAAATTGACCCTATATCTAGGAGAAAATTAAGAAATTATCCCGATCCTTGTGGTTGCGGTACCATGCTTGCTTTTATTGTGAAAACCAAGCAAATATGAATGTGAAAGTCATTAATTGTGTTTATTAAATTAAAATAAACAAAAAAAATGATTAACAATAAATTAATAATAATAAATAGCGATGAGTCACAAAACGTATCTGTCGTTTTGGTAACCAAACATGAACAGACCTGAATAAACGCCAGTTCTCGAATAACTAGTCCAGGTTATAGAAAAATGCTTCAATACAAACCTTTGGGCCAGGTGGGTCTAATGGAGTCGTATTTGGTATCGTCTTTGATGCAAAATGACCTGTTAACTTTTGTGTTGTCTACGGTTCCATCGAGGTGAAATTCCGCTGAACACGAATTGTTTAGGTTATTGCTATTACTGCCTTGGGATCTCCATCCCTCCAGCCACTGAAAGTGGTCCGTCTTTGGACACCCGGAATCAGGTTTTGGTATCCCGTATGTACCGGCGGGCCAGCGATTTGACCCTAAAAAAAATTCAATGTTCACCTTTATTCAACCGTCATTCAACAATTTTTAGTGTTGCAAAAGGGGCACCATCCAGCAAGGACATAAACTGATCGAGGTAAAAAAAATATCATAGGTCATCATACAGTGAGTTCGACAAAACCTCAGAAGTAATAACAGTAATTATTACATAGCGAAAATGATGATAGGGCTGATAATGATAGTACATGTAACAATAATAGTCATGACAATGAGGTTTTGCCAACATTGCGGACATATGCCGATAGTCAGCATTCGCGGGATAATATCGATCTTAGAAATAAACTGAGCCCTGAAAACGCCGTGACATGTGACATGAAGACGTGCGTTGCTCGCCGCGGTTCATGGGCTCCTTGTACAGTATAATAGTCATTGTATTTCCTTAGTTGTTGGAACTCCAGTTTATTTTCAGTATGGCAGTTTCAGTTTAAAAGCCAGGAAGAAAACAAACAAACAAAGAAAAGACCAAAAATAGCGTCCGGTGGTCGGAAATAAGGTCAAGAAGAGGACATCACACCCAAACAACCACCACCCGCTCTCCCCTCTCCCTCACTCTCCAGGAGTCTAGTGAGCAAAACTTAAAGATGAAATGTTTTTTAAAAATTTCTTGAGTCGTTATTTCAAATGCTAGTTTAGCCCTCGAGTCCTAAGGATTGTGAATTTTCCAGTCGGAAGAAAATTTTAACACGGTTATCCTAAAATTCTTTAGAAGACCAATTAATCCGGCTCAGTCTTTGGAGACTTCCGGTCAGTGTGTTTGAGACTTTTATAGCAAAGTATGTTTCCCAATTTTCATAGAAACAAATAATTGGAAAACGTCAAACTGGTCTCCTAGCTCAAGATCTCTTTTCCCGAGCACTAAATTGTTATTGTATCTGAACCTAGTTATCATCGCGCTATGTATATGATACGTCAATCGGACAGTTTTTGTAGTGAAAGTGGAAAGCATGTCTTGTCAGGAACTGTCTCTTCTGTCATTTTGCGGCCAGTTTAGATCATATTCAAATCAGATAACGAATAGAGTATTTTCTATGACTACTGACTGGCCCAAAAGAAAATAATAGTGAGATAATCTGGTAGAAAATATCTGACTAAAATGGAAATAACACTCAGTGGAATTAACATTCCATCTCCTTGTCGTTACACTGAAAATTCGCTACATACCTGACGGTTTCAAACACTGAAGAAGGCTAATAAATCCTAAAGTGTCCCTTAGCAGCATTTCAGTAGTTTATACATTTGATGCAAAACACCGAAAGAAGCGAAACAGGCGAAATAACATTAAAGATCTGTGAAGATGCGGGGATTCACTTCCTGCCAACTAGTAAGATTGCGTTGCAATCCCCGGGGGGGGTACTCCCATACATTACCTATACGGGTATGTGCCGCCCAAAGGGGTCGTGATTTTGAAGCTCCTGGTTTAGAACGGGGTATCTATTTCAGACGCGGTTTCTAGAACGGGGTATAATATTTCGAACGCACGAAAGCTCTCCACTTTTGTAAGTAGCCATTTGAAAGCATTCAAGGACAGATTGCTTTTAAAGTACGGTTCAGTGCGTTAAGAAGCAAACCGTTGTACTCTTGTTGCACCCTAGAACGGAGTATAAAAAATTGGCCCATTTCTAGAACGGGGTGTTAGTTTTAGGGCGAATTCTAGAACGGGGTATAAAAAATTGGCCTATTTCTAGAACGGGGTATCAATTTTAGGGGAAATTTTTTCTAGAAAGGGGTGCCAATTTGGAGTCCCGGGCGGCACATACCCACCCAAACAATACCCAAGTGCCCCCCCCCGGGTTGCAATCACTCTTCAAGCCGCAGGCTCGATTTTCGGGGGATTGCGACGTTCAACGTCGCAATCTTCGCATATTTCTGAAGGGCGAGGCGCCAAGTCTATTGTTTTGAACCAAGGGTTATATTACATCAAGAGACCCTGAGCCTATCTTAAAGCTGTCAACAATGTTCGTTTTATTGAGCAATCTTTCATCTTCGACACTTAATCCAGTTTATCTTAAGTGGACACCCAACCTAGTTGCTATTCACGTGCACTGTCGAAAGCATAATATCAAATAGACTTCAAAAATTCTTCATTGGAGCTTCACTCTTCGTCTTTAATTTTAGCCGACCCACTCAATAAACATAAATAAGAATAATATTACCGAAAAATAATTACAACTGAGAACTTGATGAATAAACAATGAAAACAACAACTCAATAATCTCTCAGGGAGATCAGCCGCCAAAGCGGATACCCGCGAGGTTTGTTCGGTTTCAACATAGACGGAGGAAATTTTTACATCGCTAGTATAAATCTGGCCTAATTGTCACATTTGATCGAAGAGAGATATTTACGCAAAAAAACTATCACAGTTCACAAATGATTTAGACATTATCTTAATATTTTACCTTAAACTGTCGAAATTAAAGTATTGCCGCCCGCGGACAAAACTAGCTTTTTTCCGGTGTACATCAAACACAGGCATCACGCTGAATATTATCCAGACTGAGAACCGTAGATCAGAAAAAAAAAAAACAATTAATAAATTTCGCTTTTGAAACCAACACCACTTGTCGTAAGATTGGGCGCATCGCATAAGAGCTAAAGACTTAAGAGGCAGAGAAAATAAAAATCTACTGATTATATACACTAACAAAAACAAAATATGAACAAAAACAACAACTCTGTAACGACTACTTTATCACAGCTTCTTAAGAATGGGCGCGCTGCCTGTAAGCCATTAGGAAGAGGAGAGAAAAATCTACCGAATTATACAAACTAAAGCAATGTAAAAAAGCTGCATTTACTAGCTAAAACACGATCGATTTTAGCTATGTACTATTCACTTTAAGAAAATCTCCCTTCACCTCTTAAACTTGGGCGCGCCGCCTGTAAGCCAAAAGGGAGAGGAGAGAATAATCTACTGATTTACCAAACTAACACAGCGTATAAAAACTGCAATTGGCTAGGTAGTAAAACATGATCGACTCAAACTACGAACTAAATGTTTCAATTTAAAAAAATCTCTCTTCAGCTCTTAAACTTGGGCGCGCCGCCTGGAAGCCAAGGGGGAGAGGAAAGAGTAACCAAACTAACACAGCGTATGAAAACTGCAATTGGCTAGGTAGTAAAACATGATCGACTCAAACTACGAACTAAATGTTTCAATTTAAAAAAATCTCTCTTCAGCTCTTAAACTTGGGCGCGCCGCCTGGAAGCCAAGGGGGAGAGGAAAGAGTAACCAAACTAACACAGCGTATGAAAACTGCAATTGGCTAGCTAGTAAAACATGGTCTATTCAGGCTACGAGCTTTTTACCGTTGAAAAAAATCTCTCTTCACCTCTTAAACTTGGGCGCGCCGCCTGTAAGCTAAGAGGGAGAGGAGAGAATAACCTACTGAATTATCCAAACTAACAACGCATGAAAACTGCAATTGGCTAGCTAGCTAAAACATGACGATTCAATCTACGAGTTTTTTACCTTAAAAAATCTCTCTTCACCTCTTAAACTTGGGCGTGCCGCCTGTAAGCCAAGAGGGAGAGGAGAGAATAATGCACTGAATTATCCAAACTAACATAGCGCATGAAAACTGCAATTGGCTAGGTATAGTAGTAAAACATGATCGATTCAAGCTACGAGTTTTTTACCCTTGAAAAAAATCTCTCCTCACCTCTTAAACTTGGGCGCGCCGCCTGTAAGCTAAGAGGGAGAGGAGAGAATAACCTACTGAATTATCCGAACTAACACAGCGCATAAAAACTGCAATAGGCTAGCTAGTAAAACATGATCGACTCAAGCTACGAGTGTTTCAATTTAAATAAATCTCTCTTCACCTCTTAAACTTGGGCGTGCCGCCTGGAAGCCAAGAGGGAGAGGAGAGAGTAACCAAACTAACACAACGTATGAAAACTGCAATTGGCTAGCTGGCAAAACATGGTCTATTCAGGTTACGAGCTTTTTGCCCTTGAAAAAAATCTCTCTTCACCTCTTAAACTTGGGCGCGCCGCCTGTAAGCTAAGAGGGAGAGGAGAGAATAACCTACTGAATTATCCAAACTAACAACGCATGAAAACTGCAATTGGCTAGCTAGCTAAAACATGACGATTCAATCTACGAGTTTTTTACCTTAAAAAACTCTCTTCACCTCTTAAACTTGGGCGTGCCGCCTGTAAGCTAAGAGGGAGAGGAGAGAAAAATTTACTGAATTATCCAAACTAACATAGCTCATGAAAGCTGCAATTGGCTAGATAGTAAAACATGATCGATTCAAGCTACGAGTTTTTTTACCCTTGAAAAAAATATCTCTTCACCTCTTAAACTTGGGCGCGCCGCCTGGAAGCCAAGAGGGAGAGGAGAGAATAATCCACTGAATTATCCAAACTAACATAGCGCATGAAAACTGCAATTGGCTAGGTAGTAAAACATGATCGATTCAAGCTACGAGTTTTTTACCCTTGAAAAAAATCTCTCTTCACCTCTTAAACTTGGGTGCGCCGCCTGTAAGCTAAGAGGGAGAGGAGAGAATAACCTACTGAATTATCCGAACTAACACAGGATATGAAAATTGCAATTGGCTAGCTAAAACACTATCGATTTAAGGATCCGAGTTCTTCTTACTTAAAAAATCTCTCTTCACAAAATGCGTTCCTATAATCCATTCCTTGAAATTTGGATCTGTAAATCACTTTCGGTGAAAATTTAACATCGTGCAGAAAATTCTAAACGAGTTGGGCCCAGCGTGACATATATTGAAGGAAACCATCACATTCACGGACAAAAGAATATCGCCTTCAGCTATTCAGATCCAGGAGGCACTTTCGAGAAGACTAAACAACCTAAAACTCTTATTTAGCCGAAAAGGAAGAGATTTACGTTTCAAAAGAGGTCGAAGAAAGTGCTCTTGCCTCAGAGGACAAATCATGCCGACCAGAAACAATAACCGCAGAAAATCAATATGCGTGTCATGACCTCTCAGTATGAAACAAGCGGCAAAATTCACATTTACTCATTCAAAGAGTAGAACCCAGAATATAATATACCCACCAGAGAAAATAATTTTTGGAACAAGCAGCATTTTGGCACGAGGTAAAAGCCGTGTGTTGCCTACCAGCCCCCTTTTTACACTCTGTTAGATGGTTCGAGCATTTTGGCGGGATCACAGCTCTTTTGCCGCGTGTTGTAAATGCCCTTTGAATTATAATATTTGTGCGTTATTGTATAGTGATCGAGGATATACACAATACCAAAGGCAAGTAAATATTTTCCTCAGTTTTCCTCAGTGTCGTCAAACGGGCTTCACCGATGTGCTCGAACTCCGCATGCGAGAGCCATTACAAGCTGCTCCTCTACCTTTTAAATAATAAAGGTCTCTCTTACCTTATATCGGCGAACACAGTTTCTGTCCTTCGGACATAATGCGAAATAACATCCAGAACTCTTCACGTTGAACTTTTGAAACCATTTCGGCGACAATATGTAACTTACCAGGTAACGTACCGAATAATTATTACTTTGGAGGGTTCGAATTCGACCTTCATAAAGCGCTAGATTTTGCCTTTCGCTTAAGAAACGAAAAAAATATTTCTTTTTTTTCCAAGACTTGCACCAAGACCCTTTTTTAACACCAATCATGAATTCAAGTATTTTCATTAAGTGATTTTGACGAGAACCATAGCTGAGTTAAAATATCTCGCTCCGATGGTATAAATTCGGCGCGCAGAAGACAAGCTCTGATATTTGACGCAAATTTGTGTCCTGTCCTAAAATGAGTTTATTGACAGATGAACTGACAGAAAGCGATTAATGTGCACACCTGAGGTGCGCAAGGAAATGTGTCAAGACTAACGCCCTGTAGTTACTTGAGTCCAGTTTGTGGGTATCTCCATGGAAATTAAGGATCCCTGGTGCGTGCACGAAAATCGACCTTGCGGCTCGTATGCTTAGTGAGCTGCTATAAATATCTAGCCTCTAGGACCTCTAGGCCATCAGCTCAGAGAGGCTGATAAATTTGATAGTTTCCTTTTCGTATGCAAAAAACGGTTCGTACCCCAGACACTAGTGGAAGAAGGCAAGGTGGTGGAGTGGAAGAATGCTTGGATAATAGGAAGTGAACAAATATTCGCATGCCCATTTCATAAATCAATATTAGACTGGCCAGTGTGTTACAAGTTTGGAGAATCCCGCGGTAACTCATGTAATTTATCAGATTTAATTATGTTGGTTTTTTGTTTCGGTTTTGGTCTGGTGATTTTGTTTTGATTTTGTTTTGTTTACATTTTTATTTTTGTGATCCTGTTTCGAGTTGAGTCTGTTTTGGGTTTGTGATTCTTTTTTTTAATAATAA